GCGCAGGCGGCGCCGCCCCAGGTGGTCCCGGCTGGCCTTCGGCAGGCCACCCCCGAGTAGCCCGAACTGGCCTCAACGGGTGGTCCGAGGAGGTCTCAGCACCCCGCCGCCTCCGGCGGCGCCCCTGGGGCGCCCCGCGCCCCAGAGCTGGGGTGTTGGGCCCGGCCTGGACTACTCGGTGGGGCTGCTCGGGGGGCCTGCCTGGGCTGCCTGGGGGGGCTGTCTGCGCGCATCCCGAAGCCCCGCCAGTCCTTGGCGGCCCGGAAGGCCTTGACCCGCACCTTGGCCTGGCCGGGGAACACGCGCGGGCCACACAGCGCACGGCACGGGCCACACCTGCAGAGCCCTCCCAGAGCTATGCGAGCGCTTCCTTACTCGGCGTTTCGACATCGGGCGGCAGGCGGGGGGGAGGGGGAGGTCTGGCTCGGGACCTCTGCCTGCTGCGACTGCTTGCAGCAGCGCGTCCTGTGGGGGAGCCTCCACCTGCTTTGAAACAGGCGCCAAAAAACAGCCAAGATCTGCTCCATAGGGGGAGGGGCTTAGAGGGCCCGCGCCCATCGGCAACGCAACGAATCAAGAAACGATCCCTGTACCGTCCTCTGTTCTGGGCCTCCTGGGGGCCCATCGCTGCCACAGAAGGACCCCCGCCTCGGACACAGCGAGACGGGAAAGGCAGGGGCGGCACCGTACCACCAGCGCGCGGCGCGCCAGGGAGAGCCCCCCTGCTGCCGTGGCCCCTCCCCCTCTCGCACGAGGCACCCCCCGCCCCCCAGCTCGGGGAGACGTCCCCTGACCTTCCAGAAGTGCTATGGTGCTGGAGAGTAGCACTCCAAACCTACAGACCTATCTGGACTGCTGCTCAAAACCTCGACCCGAACTTGGGCATCCAGGCCCAGGTGCTACTGCTTGGCCCTCCTGGAAGGCCAGGGTCGTGGACCCCCTCGCTGGAGGCAAACCCTCATGGGTGGTAGTGGTGTCGCCTCTCCTCTCCTAGGGATCCAACCAACATGTGCATCGGATCGGGCTGCATCGGCACTGGGGAGCTCAATATCGACACCCACCCTGGCTTACAGCGCCCACGTACGCATAGATTCGGCAGAGCCCGCGGATGGCCCCGAATGATATCCCGGCGTCGCATTTCCATCGTCGGCAAGACTGGCAGGATGCACATGGCGACCCCCCGAAGTCGGCATAGTTGGGCCCCGAGGCAATGGTAGCGTCACGAGTAATGAAAATATATTGGCATCGCCGCACAAGCATAGGGTCGTACCGGATCGTCAGGATATATCGGAATCGAATCGGATCGGGAAGGCTGGAATCGACATCAAATCGGATCGACCAGATCGAAATGAACCCCACCTTCAAAGTACCGATACCGCTACTCCCCGGACCTCTCCCGGGGCGCGTTCTGACCAGGATCTCGAAGCGAATCCCGCGGTGGCGACGAGGGCCTCCCAGGATCCCCCTGAAAAAAGCAACCTGCTCCTCCTCTGATTCCTGCGACAGGATGACTCCAGTCGAGTAGGAGATCGACTGCAGAATTGATTTACCCCAATCTTGATTTGTCCCATCGAACCAACGACAGATACGCAGAACTGCCGTGGATCATTCGTAGATTCGACGAGAGATCCAATGTATAAGACAATTATGTCGTCGATCTCCTACTCGACTTAGGTCGGGCATGTTCTCCTACAGGCGAAACGGCCTAGGACCGAAACCGACGGACCTGGACCCGCAAAAACGACAGCCGCGACGCCCTCTCGACATCTGAAAACGGCCAAATCGCTAATCGACGTGTCAGGGTAGGAGATCTATCAACCTCCGAGACGAACGAGTGGGGGCCGCCGATGAAGATAAGACAAAGCCAAGACGAGGCCAAACTCGAGCGAGGAGAGATCGAGAACCTCTGAGACCCGGCAGCTCCGGAGGCTGTCTCGGGCGCCGCGGCCTCCGCAGAGCGTGCCGGAACGCCCTGAGAAAGTTCCGGAACGCTCCAGAACGGCTGTGTCCTCGTCCTGCCCCCGTCCGAATCAAGTGGGCCACTGAGCCGGAGTGGTCCGGAGTGAGCTCATGACGAAGACGGGTTGGGCGGCAGTCAGCGGGAGCGGGCAGGATCAGGCGGGACGGAAACAGACTCGGCGGGTGGCTCTGCCAGGGATACGCCGGCCTGGGCTCCCAGTGATTATGTTGCATCCTTGGGAGACATCATCCGTCCCGTCGCGGCCCTTTCGGTGAGAGAAGAAGACAAAATCGGTGAGCATCGAGCCGGGAAGTCGGATCGACCCGGAACGCGCGCCGGATCGGGCCGCGTCGGCACGAGGTCGAAAACGAATCGCATCGGCTGCGCCACGAAGCACAATAGCACCGCGCGAGCATCGGGCCGCCTCGGATCGTCACCAGAATCGAATCGGATCGGACTGGCCGCATCGAATCGGGTCGGATCGTCACCCAAATCGAATCGGATCGTCACCAAAATCGAATCGGATCTACCTAGAATCGGATCGGCCGGATCGAGATGGGCCCAGGGAGTCCAGACCTCAAGGGCGTGGACAGGGATATGCTCCCCGCCCACGAATGGAAGGGGCAACATACTGCGCAAGCATAAACTGTCGAAGTCCGCGCGGATTCTTGGATCGGCGCTGGAGTCCCTGCGAGGGCCCCCAGATTTTTTTCACGACGCGAGGCCTGGGTCTGGAGTTGGGTCGGGCATGTCCTCCTACAGGCGGATGTTGGACGAAAAATTAAAAATAGTCAAAACATGTTCAAAGATATATGAAAATGATCGAAACAAATTGTCCCCATACCATGTTGTACTATTTTTGAAATGTCCTCCTGCAGAGGGACACGCCCGACGCAAGTTTGGAGCCGAGAAAGTCGACCCCCGGACAGCGTATCCACACCGCTCCCCTGGGACCCCTCAGGCCCAGGAGGGGCCCGGCCTCGGGGGCACGCTGGACATCTCTGCAGATCTCTCGCCCTCACAGCATGCTGGCGGAGCTCTGGGCACCACGAGCTCCCCCCTCGTGAGCGTGTTCTTATCCGGCGTTTCGGCACTGAGCGGAGGGGGGGGAGGGGGGGGGGGTCTGGCTCCGGACCTCTGCTTAATGCGACTGTTTGGGCCCGTGCGACCTATGGGGGAGACTCCACCTGTTCGAAACAGGCGCCAAAAACAGGCAAGATCCACTCCACGGGGGGGGGGTGCGAGGGCCCGCGCCAATCGGCCAAATAAGGAATAAGAAAACGATCACCTCCCCGAGCTCATTGCGTCGGTTTCGCGCGTGTACTTGTTTCTGTTGCTCTAGTGGGACGCAGAAGGACATACTAATACGATACGTCCTCCTTGGAGACGCGCGTCCAACCCGAACATGTAGCATACCCATCTTATAGTATTAGATCGTTCCCCGAGCGGTGTGGCCAGAAACGCCCGCCACGTCGCACATACTGAACGACCTCTCGGTGCGCGCGCCGCCCCCGGGGGGGCGACACACACCTACATCCCCAGGCCGAAAGTTTGTTCCTCTTGCATGGGAACGCATGGATCCATTTGGACCCCATTACGTGTGTGCGAGAGTCACGTGGATCAAATTTCCGTGTCTTCTGGATCCAATTTCTTGGCGTGGAAGCTTCGTGGATCCAGTTCTTTCCTAGAAAATCAATTTGTAATAATCGTTAATACAAGGGACCTAAACAGGGGAAATGGATCCACGGAGTGTTGGAGTGGCGCCGAAGGAAGATCCACGATGCTCCTCGATGCTCCTCGCCGAAGAAAAAAATCTCTGCAGATCTCGCCGCCCTCACAGAATGCCGCCAGAGCTCTGGGCACCTCGAGCCCCGCCTCCCTGAGCTCATCGTTCCTGTGTCGCGCGTGCATGTTTAATCTAAAAATATGTCTCATGCCATGATTAATCTTATAAGTATTACTATATATCGTATAGTTAGTATTACTTTTCTTGATCGTAGTAGTAGTAGTAGTAGTAGTAGTAGTAGTAGTAGTCGTAGTCGTAGTCGTAGTCGAAGTAGTAGTAGTAGTAGTAGTAGTCGTAGTAGTAGTAGTAGTAGTAGTAGTAGCCGTGGCAGTAGTGATAGTAATAGTATTCGTAGTAGTAGTCGTCGTCGTAGAAGAAGTGGTAGTAGTAGTAGTAGTAGTAGTAGTAGTAGTAGTAGTAGTAGAAATAGTAAAAGGCAGCAGCAGCAGCAGCAGCAGCAGTAGTAGTAGTAGTAGTAGTAGTAGTAGAAGTAATAGTAGTAGTAGTAGTAGTACTAGTACTAGTACTAGTACTAGTACTAGTACTAGTAGTAGTAGTAGTAGTAGTAGTAGTAGTAGTAGTAGTACTAGTACTAGTAGTAGTAGTAGTAGTACTAGTATAGTAGTAGTAGTAGTAGTAGTAGTCGTAGTAGTAGTCGTAGTAGTAGTAGTAGTAGTAGTAGTAGTCGTAGTAGTAGTTGCTGCAGTAATAGTAGTAGTACTAGTAGTAGTAGTGGTAGTGGTAGTAGTGGTAGTAGTAGTAGTAGTCGTAGTAGCAGTAGTAGTAGTAGTAGTGGTATAGTAGTAGTAGTAGTAGTAGCAGCAGCAGTAGTAGTAGGTAGTAGAAGTAGTAGTAGTAGAAGTAGTACTAGTAGTAGTGGTGGTATAGAAATAGTAGTAGCAGTAGTAGGAGGAGGAGGTAGTAGTAGTAGTAGTAGTAGTTGCAGTCGTAGTAGTAGTAGTAGTAGTAGCAAGAGTACTAGTAGTAGTAGTAGTAGTAGTAGTAGTAGGTAGTAGTAGTAGTCGTAGACCTAGTAGGAGTAGTAGTAGTAGTAGTAGTAGTAGTAGTAGTGGGAGTAGTCGTCGTAAACACATGCTCCGTACCATGATTAGTCTTATTAGTACTACTATATGTCGCAGGTTTAGTAGAGGTATTCTTGATCGTAGTATTACTAGTAGTAGTCGTGGTAGTGGTAGTAGTATCAACAGTCGTAGTAGTAGTCGTAGTCGACGTAGTAGTGGTAGCAGTAGTAGTAGTAGTAGGTAGTAGCAGTAGTAGTAGTAGTAGTAGTAGTAGTGGTAGTAGTAGTAGTAGTAGTAGTAATAGAAGTGGTGGTAGCAGTAGTAGTAGTCGTCGTCGTAGTAGTGGTAATGGTATAGTAGTGGTAGTAGTAGTAGTAGTAATAATAATAGTAGTAGTAATAATGGGTAGTAGTAGAATTAGTAGTAGTAGTAGTAGGATCAGTAGTAGTAGTAGTAATCCTAGTAGTAGTTGTAGTAGTAGTCGTCGTAGTAGTAGTAGTAGTCGTGGTAGTAGTAGTAGTAGTAGTCGTCGTCGTAGTAGTAGTAGTAATCGCAATGATAGTAGTAGTAGTAGTAGTAGTAGTCGTAGTAGTCGTCGTCGTAGTCGTCGTCGTCGTAGTAGTAGTAGTAGCAGTAGTAGTGGTAGTAGTAGTAGTAGTAGTAGTAGTAGTAGTAGTAGTAGTCGTAGTAGTAGTCGTAGTAGTAGTAGTAGTAGTCGTAGTAGTAGTAGTAGTAGTAGTAGTAGTAGTAGTAGTAGTAGTAGTAGTAGTGCTAGTGGTAATAGTAGTTGTGGTAGTAGTAGTAGTAGTAGTAGTAGTAGTAGTAGTAGTAGTCATATGATTACCAATGGTATCATTCATACTATTATCTGCTGCTCGGGGATCCAGGATGCTCCTCGATGCTCCTCGTCGAGATTCTCGACTCAAGGAACAACAAAAACAAGATAAAAAAGCACGCGTCCGAGCCATGCCGAGCCCCCCCTCCGGGGGCGCCTCCGCGTCCGCGAGCAGCCCCGCGACCGCCCCGACAGCAGCCTCGTCCCCGGGGAGGGCGAGCCTCCGCAGCCCCGCGCACGCGGCCTCCCGCACCTGCCCCAGAGCGCGCCAGGGGCCCCCCAGAGGGGGGGAGGAGGGGCGAGCGAGGAAGGGAGGGGTCGAGGGAGGGGGGAGGAGGGAGGAGGGAGGAGGGAGGCGGGAGGAGGGAGGAGGGAGGGAGGAGGTGGAAGGGGGAGGAGGGAGGAGGGAGGACGGTCGAGGGAGGGGGGGAGGAGGGGCGAGCGAGGGAGGGGAGGAGGGAGGACGGTCGAGGGAGGGGAGAGGAAGGAGGAGGACTGAAGGGGCGTGGCTGAACCTGGCAAGGAAAGAGCAGGAAGCGCCGTCCTAGAGAGAAAGCTCAAGACCATGATCACTCAGAGCCCCTGTGGAAGCGGATGCCTGGAGGATTTCTCGAGCGAACCGGCCGGGGCAGCAGAAGGGCAACGAGGAAGATTGCAAGGAAGCGGAGGGGGTGACCCCAGGAGGCGCATGACGAGGATGACGGCATTGAGGACGGGGGGAAAGAAAAAAGAGGCTGGAGGACAACCGTTGCCCCGGGGGGAAGACAAGCGCAAGGACAAGGAGGAAGAGACTAGGGGGGGAACGAGCACGAGGAGGAATGAGGAGGAAGACGGCGACGGCGAAGCAAGGAGCCCGAGAAGGACGTCCAAGAACGGGGATCCCAGTGACCTTTTGGGGTTACCCTGGGGGGCCTGGGGCCATCTGGGGCTGTCTTATGGGCTTCTTTGGGGCCTCTTGGGGTTCTTTGGGGTTCTTTGGGGTTCTCTGGGGACTCTCTCAAACCAACCGGGCACAACCTTGGGCAGTCTTGGGTCTCCCTTGGGCCGACGGAGGGCATCCTGGAGCGCTCGTGGACATCTCGTGGGGCCCTCTTGGGCGCATATTGGAGTCCCTGGGGGCCTTGTGGGGTTCTGTTGGGCCATGTTGAAGCTCTCCACAAGCCATCGCTCGGACGTCCACTCCCTGTGTTTTCGACTTCGTGCGTGTACTTTTTCCCAAAATGACCCCAAATACTCCGCGATGGTCCCTGCGGAAAATGCACACGTCCGAGCGATGCCAAGTCCAAAGGCGATTACAAGACCACGTCGGCTCAGAATACCCTTCGGAAATAACTGTTTGCAGGATGTCTCGAGCGTGCCCCCTAGCATGTCGAGACGTGGTAGAATGCCAAGTGCTGTCTGATAGGTTTTCTGCACTCCTCTAAGCGACCCCCTCCTCCACCCTCTCTCGCTGGAGACGTGGCCGTGCATACCCCCTCCTTCCCGAGGCCACGATCCATCGAAGAAAACGATGGGTCCGCGCTCCCGAAGTCACGATCCCTCGCAAAAAAAAGATTGGTGCGTCCCGAGCTTCCCACATGGCCCCAGGACCGCCCAGGCTGACTCCAAGAGTGCTCAAGAGGGCCACCAGTGGACCCCATGAAGGGTCAGAAGAAACCGAAATAATCAATAATCCGTTGGTTGTCGCATGACCTTCGCATTCTCGCCGTTTCGGACTTCCGTCAGCTCAAGACGGGACAAGAATCCTCACAGGACGGCCCAGGACGGACTCCTGGGTGACCCAAGACGGCTTTAGAAGGTCCTTCGACGTCGCCAAGACGGACCAACGACGGTCCCAAGACACAAGAGAGCCCAAGACAGCCCAAAAAGGCCCTGAGAAGGCTTAGGAAGGCTTAATACGTCCGAAGAGGGCCCAAGACGGCCTCAAGACACCCCCAAGACTGCCCCGAAGGAGTCCAAGTCAGCCCCAAGGCGGCACAACTGAGCTTCATGAGAGCTCCTCATCGTGAAGACGGAAGGTGTCACAGGTGACGGCCTTCCTCTTCCTCCATTTCCTGTTCCTCCTCCTCCTCCTCCTCCTCCTCCTCCTCCCCCGCCTCCTCCTCCTGTTCCTTCTTCAATTTCCTCATCCTCCTTTTCCTGATCCGCCTGCTCCTCCTCCTTCCTCGTGCATCATCCCTTCCGCCTCTTCCTACGCCCCTTCCCCCTCATTGGGTTATTGCGAAGAGAAAAGTTAATAATGATAAGCATCATCGTCATCATCATCATCAGCATCATCATCATCATCATCATCATCATCATCACCATCGTCATCGTCATCGTCATCATCTTCATCAGCATGATCATCATCATCGCCATCCTCCTCGCCGGCGTCGGCGTTAGCGTCGGCGTCGGCGTCATCGTCGTCATAAGATTCCTCCTGCTCCTCCTCATCATCAGCATCATCATAACAATCATTGAGCACCAACATCAGCATCATCCGCATCAGCATCAGCATCAGCATCAGCATCATCAGCATAATCATCACCACCACAACAGCCACAACCACCACCATGCTCATCACCATCATCACCATCAGTAGCATCACCACCGCCACCACTGCTACCACCATCATCATAATCATCCTCATCACCACCATCGTCATCATCATCATCATGATCATGATGCTCATCATCATCATAATCAGCATCATCAGAATCACCATCATCATCATCAGCAGCAGCATCATCACCACCGCCAGCATCACCATCACCGTCACCACCATCACCGCAATCATCAACATCACCATCACCATCATCACCACCACCACCACAATCATCATCATCATCATCATCATCATCATCATCATCATCATCATCATCAGCAACATCATAACGATCATCCGCATCATCATCGCCACCACCGACATTATCATTACCACCACCCCCATCCCCAACACCATCACCATCTTATCACCACCATCACCACGTCCACGTCCACGTCTCCGGGGTGTAGCCGCTGCGCGACTCCCGGACCAGCAGGCGGTATAACCTCTATGTACAACCTGAAGGATGGGGAAGCCCACAGCGGCTGGCCCCCTTGCCGCCCTTCTCCAGTCAGCCCCCAGGGGGGGGACGCGGGGAGCAGGAGCCCAGGAGGCCAGAAAAGGAACCAGGGAGACCGGAGAAACCAGGACGAGAACCAGGGGGCCCGAGGAGGGGGAAGGGGAGGGGGGGAGGGGAGCCCGACCAGAGAGTGGCAGGGGGGGGGGGCAACCATGGGAAGAGGGAAGACCGCCCACACAACGACCGCCCGAGGGGCGCGCCCGACCCGGTCCCCCATGGAGGTGGCCGCAACAGCGGTGAGCACCACGCACAGTGGCCCCACTTGATGCATTTAGTCATACCGACCCCTATTGGGGGGCCGACGCGCCAAGAGGCCCAGAACTGCCAGGCTGTATGACGCTCCACCCTGGGTCCAGGCCCCAGGAGGCCCGAAGGGGAGGCCCCGCCCCCTGGGACCCCACCCACGGGGGGAGCGTGACGATCCAGACGTTCGTCCTAAAGAGAGCGCCCGAGAGACGAGATTCACGGAAACATCACCCACAAAACAATTTCATTTAAAAACACGCCACACGTTTCTCCCCGGCCGCGCGGGGCAGGGGGCGGCTGGCCACACGGTGGAAACCGGCGACCTGGCGCAGATGGATGGGGCAAGCCCTTCCTTGTGCCGCCCCCAGATGGCCGGGGGAACCCGCCATCGACAGCGCACGGTGTAGAAACACCAACACGGGCAGCGCAGCCAAAATCCGAAACTTGTTGTGTGGCGCTCGTGTCCCCAGACGCTTCGTGTTCATGGACCTCGCATTCCGTTGCCAAGCTCTCGCCCTCTTCATAGCTCCCCTATCTTGTTCACTCCGCGCTCCCATCTATGTTGGCCCTTATTACCACCTTCTGATTTCGATGGGTCGTTTTAGGACGCCCACCCCGCCCGACCATGGCCGAAACCACCGCCGAGTGAGACCGGCGCCCAGGGACTGCACGCCCCGCCCGACCATGGCCGAAACCACCGCCGAACGACATGTGCACACCCATTTGACGGTGCGCCTAAACCAAGGGCGTCGCCGTCCTGCCACCCCGCCCACCATCAGGGGAAAGGTCCGGAGACCCAACCGCCCCTGATAGGTGTTTGGACGAAGTGGGTTGTACACTCCCGCCCCCGAACAATCAAATGTGTCCAGTGATAGGCTCGCAAGTGCCAGTGGCCAGTGACCCAAAACAATAGCAACGAACCTAACACCACCGAAGGCTCAAGAGGGGGCGCCCCAGGAGGGGCATGGTTTAGCCGTGTCCCCCCTCCACCAAACCCTACCCCTTGACCACGAAAGTCCAAGCACACGAAGACCCGTGACCCAGCACAACAGCGGCGATGGTGAAGGACTAGCCAATCCCGCAGGTTAGAGTGGGGGCTACCGACCCGCCTCGGTCAGTGGCTCCCCCTCACCCCTGCCATGGCTAGTCTTGCACACTCCTCCTGTGGTCCGGGATGGGGTCCAGTGGAGGGACGCGGGACACGTTGTCCCAGGTGCGGCCGTGTTCAGGTAGAACTGGAGGCCTGTGTACCACCAACACCATCACCATCTCATCATCATCATCATCATCATCATCATCATCATCATCATCATCATCATCATCATCATCATCATCATCATCATCATCATCATCATCATCATCATTATCATCATCATCATCATCATCCTCATCCTCATCCTCATCCTCATCCTCATCCTCATCCTCATCATCATCATCATCATCATCATCATCATCATCATCATCATCATCATCAGCATCATCATCATCATCATCATCATCATCCTCATCACGGATCTCCCAAGCCTGGGGACACGAGGTGTCACATGACGGCCTCCCGCGCCCCAACGAACTGTCGCCACTCATGGTGCTGGGCTGGCACGGCGGCAGGACTTGCCACGGGCAGCTGGATATAGAAGCAAAAAATGTAGGAGGTCCGCGCGGCTTCTCTTCGAACAGCGCTGGACCCCCTGGTGGCAAGGGGGTCCGGCGCCGACACGAGAAATCCACGGGAACCTCCGAAACTCATGCTGCGGGGCTCCGGGAGACTCCTCATCGCCACGCCCGGGTTCCCATCGGCACTTGCGAGGCGGGGCGCAGCCCAGGACAAGTCCGGGGGTCAGTGCGTGATCCCCCACCCACCAGACCGCCATGGCGTCGAGCTTTCACGCCGTTTTGGCCCCGGGGGGCCCTTCGAGGGCCCAAGGGCCGCCAAGAGACGACGCGGAATGGAGTGCCCGCCCTTGCGGAAGGGGCCAGGCCTCCAGGAGATCACGAGGTGAACAAAGCACGACGCCACGACGAGATTGGACGGGGTGCTCGCAGCGGTGGAGGGTTGGCGAACCGGCTAAACGTAATTGTGCCTGATCTCTCTCTCGGGCGCCTCCCTGCGCCAGACGTGGCCGTGCACCGATGTATCGAGGAGAGCGCTCAACGTTGGAGCTGAAGCCAGCTGCACACTGCAGAGTTCGCAACCAATCCCCCTTTTCCAACCGCCTCCCTTCCCAGAGCCCCGACGTCGTGATCTGGATCGCAATGTCGACCCTCGGAGTTCTCGACCCCTGCCCCGGGACTGCTTCTCATCCCGATCTGCTCAGATGGCAACACCGAGGCCTGGCCATCGCTCGGACGTCCATTCCCTGTGTTTTTTTCAGTTATTTGCGTGTGCTGTTTTCGCCAAATGATCAAGGATGCTCCTCGATGGTCCACGCCGAAGGAAAAATGCACACGTCCGAGCGATGCCAAGGGCCCGGGAGAGGCCCACAGAGGCCGTCTGGCACTGGACCCGAAACCCAGGGAATGCCTTCGGGAGTCCAGCCGCGGCGACGAGAAGCCTGAGGAAGAACCGACGGAAGCCTCCAGCCACGAGCCTCGACCATAGAATAAGAGGAAAACTGCATAGGCAGGGCCGGCGATCGAAGAATAAGAGAAAAACTGCATAGGGGGCCAAGCGCAGATCCAAGAAAACAAACGCATCCGTCGAAGGCTTATGCTCATGCAGCTTTTCTTCTTCTCGGGGGCGGCGGGAAGGCAGGATAGCAAAGGGCGGGGTGGAGAATCAGCTCACGCAGCTGGTTCTCCTGGCGCCTCCTGGCGCCGAGAGGCGCCTACGCATCGAGGGATGGGCCCGGATGCAGCGGGGCGGGAACCAGCTGCACGTAGCAGATGGCGTACTCCGCCCCCCGTCTCGGGGACGTCCAAGAGAGGGGCGTCCAAGAGGGGAGGACGCAAATCATGGCTGGTGGCATGTGCGTGGCCCAGGGGGGAGGTGCTGAGGACATTTCGAGACAGGAAGAGGCGCCATGAAACCTGGGGAGGTACCGCACCATGGCCCGCGCCATGCTACCCCCCCTCCCTAGTAATCCCCCCCCTTTGGCCGCCCCCGACTTCCCCTATCCTAGCCATCAATCCGGCCCGATACGCGACGACCTCGAGCCTCCTCCCTCCAGGCCTCTGGCTGCTGGTCCCCCGTGATCCCGAGCAGCGCGGCGACCGCCTCCTTGTCGCCCCTGCAGGCCAGCCTCTGCAGCGCATGCGCGGCCGCGAACCGCGCCTCCCACGCGCTGGCCTGGGGAGGGAGGCGCCAGCTAAGGGGCCCCGGGAGACACCAACATATCGACCCAGGATTCCCCAATGCTGTTCAACATTTTGGGGGATTTCCCTCTCCCCCTCCATGTCCCATGGCTCATCGCGTTTTCGTGTAAAAAATATGCGTTGCATTGTGGTTGTGCCTCTGTTCCCCTCCTGACCAACATCAGCACGAGCGCTGGAAGGGTACAGCGAAAGCCCATGCCAAGAAACACCCTGCTTGCCTCTGGGGTGCCCTGAGTTTCTTGGGTGTCGATGGTTTTCCAATGGAAAGCGTGACGTCCCCACACCAAAAACCATTGGACGTCCTGGGGTCGCAGGGTTGGGTTTCTTGTGGAAGGTTTCTTGTGGTCGAGCTCCTCCTGTAGAGCAAGGAGAAATGACGGCATGAACACATAAATTTTCGGAGCTCCGAGCAGATCTCTGGGAATGGCGCCGGCACTCCCTGGCGGCGCCTCCGGCGCCTGCCCCTGACGCGCGCGCCTTACGCGCTGGGACGGGGGCTACACCGCCGATGCATGAACTCCGCGCGGACCTCCTACAGTTCATGTTTTTTGTCGTCCTCCTTCTTAGCATTACTTCAACTATTGTTACTCTTATTCTTTTATTTCATGTTGCTTATAATTGTTTTTCTTCGTCTTGCGCCCTACAGTTCATGGTTTGGTCGTTCCTCGCAGTATTTAGTCTGATTGTTATGTTATTTCTGGCATTGTGATTATTTTTCTCATCAATATTACTATTGTGCGTCTTGGGAATACGCCTGCGCCCTTCCTCGCAGTCGCCTCTCTGGTACGCCTGGGCCCCCGTCGCCGCAGCAACCCCCGAAAATCCTGGTCCTGGAACGCGTCCCGGGGCGAGGCCTGGAGCGCAGAGGCATCGGCATCGCCTTACTCCACCTGACAGGAGGCAAGGACGAGGCTGCAAGGAAAGACGAGGACACAGGATTAGGAGGCAACTGCTGGGAGGTCTTCGTCGGAAGGACTAAGGAGCATTAAGCCACATTGGGGGGCTGCTACGCGACATCATGCCACAAGCTAAGCGGGATTAGGCCAGATTGAGCGAGATGAAGCAGGATTAAGCGGGATTGACACGGATTGAGCCCGATGTCGGATCAGGGCAAAGTCGGAATTTGACCTCCCAGAAGCTGCTTCCGAAACAACGAAGCCCCAAGAGGCCCCCCGGGGGCTCCCAGAGGGCCCCCAGAAGGCCCCCCCGAGGCCCCGCAAAAGGCACCCAAAATGCTTTCAGTCTGAGCCCCAGAGGCCACCACAAGCCCGCCGAAGAGACCCCAAAAAACATCCACGAGGACTCTGACCCGCAACCTAGGCACGGTGGCGTGATGGGCCGACGGCCACTAGATCCGCCGCCCCCAGTCGATTCATCGCACGGGTGCCTGGCGTGCTGGACCCTTTCGGTGTTGGTTTTGGTTCTCTTTCCAAAAGAATTCCCCCTGGGGCTTCGGCCCGTCCCGACGGCCACCCGGAAAGGATCTCAAAACCTGGTTGCAAAAGTTTCTCTGCTCCAAATGGCTCCGAGACGGCCCGAGACGGTCTCCAAGATGCATCCAAGACGGCCAAGATGGCCTCCAAGACGGCGAAGATGGCTCCAAAATGCCTCCCAGACGAGTCAAGATTCATCCAAGACGGCCTAAGATAGCCTCAAAATGGCCCCAAACGGCCAAAAAAACCTCCAGGAGTTTGGAAGGGGTTGGGAGGCCCAACCAGCAGCTTCGCCTCAGGCGAAGCCCAGCCCCAGCTCTGCTGTACCGTGGTAACGATAGTCCCAGTAGAAGAGGGCGTACAGTCTTAAGCAATATGAAGGTATTGTTGGTCTCGATGGCGAATCGTATGCCTCACAATGAGGCACAATCATATGTGGGCGGCCGGCCGCTTTGAGCCGACGCGGCCGCGGGCACACGCTCGTTTCTGCTCCTTCTGTCCCTCAGCTCGCTTTGGAGTCGGGGGGAGGGAGACGAAGCGTGAGTCCGCCGCCCCTATCCAGCAGGCACAGCAGCTAATATGTACAAAGGGCAGCCCTTTTCAAGGAAGGTGGACCCGCACGCAAGTTGCCTTGCCTGCAGCGGCTACAGAACAAGATGCCTGGCCGGCCCGATATGGAGTATGATTATTTAAGTCATGTTTGAAGGCCTGCACCCCCAATGACCTGTAGGAGCATCTATCTGTCGATACTCTACTTGGTGTGACCGTCCGCAGTCATACCGCGGGTGTCGCAGCACTGAATACTGTGCACGATTCAACGCTCAATCATCTGCCGTATCCAACTGATGTGTCCTAAAAGGGTACACCCAGTCGGCTTCTTCAAGACTTTGCTGGACAAGGACTTAAAAACAGACCCAGCATTGATGGTCAAAGTGACCTTGATGCTCAGGCCAACCAACTCAAGTATGTATTTCAACTGAGTGGGCGTGAGCGGCCCTGCGTGGAGCTCGTGCAGAGTCACGATCGTGGGATGACAGTCCTCAAAAGCATGGGCTGCTGCAAGTGTCTCGAGCGGACATGCAAGCGGCGAGACTTGCAGCGCGCATCGATCAAGTGGACGACGGGCTTACCAGATGGCGCGCTTCCACGCCGTAGCAGGTTTGCCCCGCGAATGCCATAGCCTTTGACGTCGTCATCGGCGTCTCCACTCAGGCGTCGATAACCTGAGTCGCTGCGCAGGTCAGCCTCGCTTGTAGGGGTCATCGCCTGATAGACGATCTTCTTGGGACAGGCCGGCAGCTTCCTGGCGATCGCGTTCGTCGAACTTGAATTAGTCGGTTCTTGGACACGTCGTAGAGATACAACATACACCATCAACCACTCCTGGGTGATTAATGCATGCGCCAGCGCACCCCTGAGGCTGACGAACATGTCTGCAACCATCTTGGTTGCCTGAGCGTCAGCGTCGGCGCCGGCGAGTTCAGGATGTTGTATAGGATAGAGCTGCTTGATGGATTCGTCTTGGTCCAAAGTAGCACTGCCGCCCTCACCCTCGGTATATCTCACAGCACAATTGGCGCACGTGTGCTCGTTGAGCTTACATTTATCAAAGGTGTCTTCTACACACTGGAACACTTGTCAATGGCGTCCTCAGTACCAGTCATTGCGATACCATCAACATGTTTGGCCGTAAGCAAGCTGCTGCTCGTCTCGAGCTCCTCGTCACAAACCGCGGGCCGGAGACCAAAACCTCGCGCGGCCCTTCTGAGTTTTAGTGATAAAGCTCTCGGTGCGTCTTTGGTGCCAGCGCCTGGTTCAAGGCACCGATAGCAATGCTTTGACTCGTCGCAGCGTTCGAATCCTGGGGGCGCCCGAAGCACCGCGGCCGATCCAGGCGGCAAAATAAAGCACACCACACGTTGTTTTCTCACCAGTTGCTTCAGCAAGTTCCTGGCAGGTCATCCCCTGCAGGAAGGCATGTTGATGTCGAGGGAAACAATGATCCATTGCTTCTTGCACGCTGCCGCGCTCGCGAGCAATCCCTGACTTGACCGCCGCGCTGTTCCCGAAAAGGATTCGCTTCCACGTCGAAGGCATCAAGGTCCATGAAGCCATGAAGCACCGGGCGTAATCTGATGGAACTCTCCATCTCGCCCTTCTCGTTCTTCACAAACTTCCATGCGTGCACATACCTCGAAGTCACGATGTTTGACACTTTGGATATGCCTCGCATTCTGAAACATTTCTTGACAAAATATGCCTTGAGTTCGGTGCAAAGGGCCTTCGATACTTTCTCGGGGTTCGCCTGGACGTCAGCCCTCGCGAAGAGGTCTTCCTGGACGACCACAGCTCGCTTTGCAGCGGCGGTAACATACACTCGCATAGTGGTCGCACGGTCGGCATCTAATCTCATGCGTCGTTGCTCGGACAAGAATACCTTTGACATGTCTGCCGTGAAGCTAGCTCTACAGACTGTCCATTTTCGTCTGAGTCCAGTCCGTAGCTGCAGTCTTCGACCATGGAGCACATAAGTCTCCTGCGTCAAAGTCGCGCGCGCGCCCCCACTTAGGCAGGCGCCCCCGCTGTTCATCAGCTACAGTGATCAGCTTACTTTGGTCTGGATACATCTGCGCGGGTATTGCGATAAGGTCCTCTGGTGGAGTTGCTGCCGGCAGCTCCTTTTCATTTTGTAGTTCTGCATGCCGCACTTCCATGACGTGCGACTCGAGATCAGCCTCCGATTCCTCGCAGATCGTGGGACGCCGTCCAACATCATGTGGTGGTCAGGCTTTTGAGGCCTTTCTTGCGGTTCCACCCGGCGTCGGTGCATCCGCCAAATCCCAAAATATTGTCATGCGCTGGTCAAAACCTGATTGAGGTTTGGTGGACTTCAGACACTGGATGATTCTCGGACGTGCTGATCCAGATACATCGTATATATTGCAGGCGGCGCCTGCTGCTTCATAATAGTGAAATCCTGGATTCACATCGTTGTCATAGTGGACCAATGTGCAACTGCCAGCTTAAGCAACCAGAGCTAGCTTATGGCTGCTTGTAGCTAGCTTGCCCGAACTACAGTCCCAATGCGGACGAAGTTGCTGATAAAGCACAGTAAGGCTAGACGTACCTTAAGAGATAGGCGGCTTGCACTCGCCATCTGAAGCGCCCCCTTGTTGGTCGGTACAGAGCCAAATGTCATGGCAGGTCACCCCCCTGGTAAACTGGCCACGAACGTCAACGCTGTCCGTAGCGCAGTGTTGTCGGAGCCACTTGCTCTGGCGATTAGCGCTTCGATATATTAAATGGCGTGCATGTCCGCATTGTACCTGAACATCGCGATTGCTCACTCGAATGATGACTTGACCCCCTCGGGATCGCTCCTTACAACTGGGAACGGGCCATTCCAGCCTCCCCAGTCGTCCTTCGTGGCTGTGGGGCAATGGTAATCAACTAAATCTCCTTCGTCGTAGTAATGCTGACCAGTAACAGTTGTCTTAGTGCGTAATGCACGATTGGTCTTGGCTGCTTCTGTCGCCTGTGTGATCGCTTCAACGCATGCCCTGCGCATCGTCTGTTCACGAGAATGATCCGACGTTTCCGTCGGCTCTTCGTGGTCCAGAACAGGTAAGTCAGGGAGCATTGCTGGTTGCCGTCCAAACAGGGCGCTGCATGGAGACACCTCGTTGTAGAAGGTGAACGCACTGGCGGCAAACAAGGCAGCGTGCAGTAGTCGCGTGAACTCAAGAGGTATGTCTAAACTGTTGAGTTCAGCTTCCACGGCATGAAGAAGATGGCGCAATATGCCATTTCTGGCTTCGATGGTCGCAGCATGTTGCCCACGCGCACGTACCCTGAGCTCAGTGCCGTTTGCCCTAAGCACTGCTTTCGCAATGTCGTTGTTGAGGGCACCCTCTCCGTCGGAGTACAGAGGTCCAAACTGCATCCTGCACTGACGGTATGAATCTAGGATACTGGTCATCGTTTTGTCTGGTATCTCGATTCCTGTGGCATATCGAACGCAACGATCACTGATCTGAAATATAGTGCGTTATTGCTTGTAGAACATCAAGTCACATCCCACTTCGTCGTTGAATTTGCCAGGCAGCGCAGTAGATGGCATAACCGCATGCCCTGGCTTGTCCCACGCCCTGCACTCCCGACATGCGTCGCAGACACCCTTGATCAGGTTGAGTCTGACATTGCCCAGACCTAACTTGGTTAAGGTGAGTCTCATCTTAGGTTCTTTCGCACGAAACCAACGCAAGTGTAGCTTCCGCAGCTCGCGCGCTACATCGCTTGGGTCAAGGCTTCGTTGATTTTGATGACTTGTTTTTACACCGAACCGCGGCCAGTCTGGTAGTCGTGGTCGCGCAGCAGGGTTCCCCGCCGGTGGCGGTGGAGGTGTCTCTCCGCCTTGCCGT